TGGCCTCCCCCAGGCCTCTATGAGGGTGAAAATGGCCTCCCCCAGGCTCTGCTTTTTTTGGAGTGTGAGTGTAAATTTACGACATTTGGCTTGGAAGGAGAGTACCAAAGCTCCTGGATTCTATCTGAAGTCCTGAGGAGAAGGAAGGGGAGGTTCCTAGAGGAGGGAAATGAAGAAAAGCATCTGCCCCTGTAACCACAGCCTCTGTCTCTTTGCAGGACTACCCTTCTCTTGGGCACTTGGCTGAAGTGTTGTCCAAATCTAATATTCAACCCATATTTGCTGTGACTAGTTCCAGGCTATCCTTATACAAGGTGACTGCTGAGTTGAAGAGTGGGGAAGGGAGATGGACTTGGACTATTGGGGAATCTCCCACTCACATTTCCTTCTCCTCTCTAGGAGCTGAGCAAGCTGATTCCAAAGTCAGTGGTGGGGGAACTGAAGTCGGACTCCAGAAATGTGGTGCAGCTCATAGAAGATGCCTATAAAGTGAGGACAATGAGTAGTCTGGCTCATCTGAAATTAATCCTGATCACTTACGAGGGGGATGATCACTTTTCCAGTATCCCCATCTACTTGGGCATTACTCAGAAAAATGGCCTGAAGGGACCCTCTAATAAGAAATAAGCAGACTTCATAAACTATCTTAGTTGGGAGATAACTTAGAAGCACCCTGAGCCCCTTGAATGGACTGTACATCAGAGGAGGCTTTCTCATACAGCTCTTCTATCTTAGGGCAAATTTTCAGAGTTTGTTTTGGATATTCTCAGACCCAGCAGTGAGCGAAATTGAGAGGATCCTGCTTAGAAGTTAATTACCTTGGCTTGCGTCCAAACATTCCCAAGTTCAAGAGAAGTCAAACCACCATATGCAGGCAAGTGAATGAATAGGCAGAGACTGGGTGCCATGTTTTGCTTCACCTTTGGGTTGATGCAAACCAAGTCAGCCAATGGAAGAAAAGGGTTCCCACCTCCATGCATAGAACGGGAATGTGGCCGGGACAGAATTCTCTCCTCTTTCTCAGCCATTGTAACAGATAAGATCTCAGATGGTGTAGAGTTTAAGATGTTAGATTGGCACTGAGGAGATCCAGGTTCTACTTCACCTTCAACCATGGAAACTCAGCGAATGATTTTATGCTAGATGTCCCCTCCCAGCCCCATCTACCTCAAAAGGTAGTTTTTGTAGGGGGGAAATGGGATGAAGAATGCTAGGGTGCTATATTGCATCCATATATGCTATATAGCAATAGCAATAGCACTTAGACTTATATACCGCTTTACAGTGCTTTACAGCCTTCTCTAAGTGGTTTACAGAGTCAGCATATTGCCCCCAACAATTTGGGTCCTCATTTTACCCACCTTGGAAGGATGGAAGGCTGAGTCAACCTTGAGCCTGGTGGTATTTGAACTGCCAAATTGCAGGCAGCTGGCTGCAAGCAGAAGTAACTTGCAGTACTGCACTCTAACCACTGCGCCACAGAGGCTCCTATATATATATATGGATGTATAGAAGAAGGAGTGGCAGAAGCTGAGGGTAGGGTTAAAAGAAGGATCAGCCTAGAATCCTTATGTAGCCCAAATGAACTAAGCCCAAATCCCATTGGCCCTTATCTAATTCCAATCATGTGCTGTTAGTTGAGAAAATTATAGACATAATTAGCAATAAATCAGTTTCACAGAACCTTCACATGTGAACCTGATCGTTCGTGTCTGACAGGATACCATATATAGCCATATTTACTATATGCTATGCTGAGCTCCTGCAACACAGAGGGGCTAATATTTGGTATACCGTTTCTGTTTTGGTGACTTTTAATAATTTTATCCCATTTTGTTCTGATAGCATATACATCATCCCAATCATATTTGCTGCCTAGTAGTCAATCTGATGCTCCCATGGTAGAAGTAAACTGTGGCTTTCTTAAAGCAAATAACTGAGCTGAGTTTTGAATCACAGGCTCTCCCTAATCACTAGCAGTCACTAGACACTTATTAATGTCTGCTAGTAAGAGCACGTGTAAACATTCTTCTTTTTGGCCTTGCTTTCAAGTCATAAGCCTACTCACAACAGATTCTATTCGTCTCTCCACAGAGTCTTGCCTCCACAGTGAAACTGGGACATTTCTCAGACCTTCCACCTGGGATCTCCATTGCTTATGACTCCCATTGTGGGGACACGGAAACCTATGGGCAGACAGAGGGTGGAGAATGCAGTGACGTGTCTGTCAACCAGTTGGTGAGTATTTAAGTCAAGAGCTTCTGAAGCAGAGGTGGCATTCAGCAGGTTCTGACCAGTTCTGGAAAACCGGTACCGGAAATTTTGAGTAGTTCAGAGAACCGGCAAATACCACCTCTGACTGGCCCTGCCCCCATCTATTCTTTGCCTCCCGAGTCCCAGCTGATTAGCTGGGTCTTCTTTTGTTGCTCTGCACAGGAGAACAGAGCTGGAAAGGAGGTTAATGGGGTGGGGAGGGAATGGGATTTTGCAGGATCCTTCCCCTGCCATGCCTACCAAGCCACACCCACCAAGCTACACCATGCCCACAGAACCGGTAGTAAAAAAAATTTGAATCCTACCACTGTTCTGAAGGCTCCAAGTATGTCTCTGAAGAGGCTCTCAAAGAGGTTGCTATGTTACAGCTCCAGCAGACTAAGCATGGGTAGAGGGATGCTGGCATCTGGGATTTGGCAACATCTGGATTGTCACAGATTTATCACTTAGGGAAGTTGATGGAGCCCCTCTCATTCACTTATCTTCCCAAGGTGCAATTTACAGTGAAGGTAATGGCAACCACCTGCCTACCTGAATCCCAGAAGCTGGTGTTGCGAGTATTGGGAGTGGGAGAGGAGGTCCATGTAGAGGTGTCAACAACCTGTGACTGCCAATGTGGAGACACCCAGCCTGATGCACACCACTGCTCTGGTGGACATGGCAACCTCACCTGTGGCATTTGCAGGTATTTATCTGATTTATTTCATTGTGTTTCTTAAAAGCTGCCTTGCTGTGTCATAATACATTGCAATGTCCTACCTGCCAATGAATACTTCAGCTTCAACCATAACAATACAAGAGCACACAATAGATACAAACTCAAGGTAAACCACACCAAACTTGATTGCAGGAAATACGACTTCAGCAACAGAGAGGTCAATGTCTGGAATACTCTACCTGACTCTGCAGTTTCTTCCCCAAACCCCAAAAATTTTAACCTTAGACTGTCTACTATTGACCTCACCCCTTTCCTAAGAGGTCTGTAGGGGGCGTGCATAAGCGCACCAACGTGCCTACCATCCCTGTCCTAATGTTTCTTTTATTTTTCTTATATGTATCCATTTCATGTATTCATCACTATGTTTATTCTTATACCTGTTATCTTGTAAGCGATTGACAAATTAAATTAAATAAATAAATAAAAAGTCAAAGATCTTGACAGGCTAGGTAGAAACAGACCTGGTAACTACTAGGAGGAGCAGCTACCAATTTAGCCTGGGAAGCAGAGGTGGCATTCAGCAGGTTCTGATCAGTTCTGGAGGACCGGTAGCAGAAATTTTGAGTAATTCAGAGAACCAGCCAATCCCACCTCTGACTGGCCCCTCCCCAATCTCTTCTCTGCCTCCCAAGTCACAGCTGATTGGCTGGGTCTTCTTTGGTTGCCCTGCAGAGGAGAACGGAGCTGAAAAGCAGGTTAGTGGGATGGGGAGGGAATGAGATTTTGCAGTAACCTTTCCCTGCCACGCCCACCAAGCCACGCCCTCAGAACCGGTAGTAAAAAAATTTGAATCCCACCACTGCTGGGAAGGCAACAAAACAAAACACACCCAATAGCAAAATCTTTCTGATTACCACTGATGTGTCCCAAAGGTACTGGGAGTCAAGGAAACTTTACTTCACTCCAGTAATAGGCTGATAGTAAAATTAAAAGTGTCATAGGAATATATCAATGATAGGGTTCGTAGTGCCTCCAAACACACTGCCACGAAAATTGCATGGACTTGTCCACACAGCAGTCAAGACTGACTGAAAGGCCCCGCCTTGATGTAGAATTCTCTCCAGAGTCAAGAATTCTCAGTATCCCCAGGCCTAAGTTGGAACATCTTGAGCGGCCCATAGCCAGGCTCAGAAGAAATCTGTTCCAAATGCAAAACACAAGCAGAGGAGAGGAGTTTCACTTTCACTTTCACAGCAGCAACCAGCTTTTAGTACAGAACACTTGAGCTAAGCCAAGTCCAGGTTCCTTGCTGTCTCCTTCTTGCTCACACAGCAAATACTGTTTCAGTTTCCATGTTTCAGTTTCCAAACAGCCCTCAACTCTCTCACACATTGACAGGATGCTAGCCAGATAAATACTGATGAATGCTGATAGGCAGAGCACAATTCCCTCCCTCTTATTTTCCTCCCCCAAAACTTAGCCCAACCACATAGTTTCGTAGCAAAGCACGGGTATAGAGCTAGTATTATATAAAAATACAAAAAACAAACATTTACAAAGCCATTCTATAAATGCAATACTACATTAAAACTTTATTTCAAGACATATGTTCAGACTTGTAAAAATTCATCCCAAGTCTGATTAATCATTGAATTTAAGTCACTCCATTTAAAAAACTCCCAAAGTTTGTAAGATATTATTTAAATTAAATTCAAAAATATGAATGGTTAGTATTTTTAAAGAAAAGAAAAAGTTCTTATTGCATGACCATAACGTGAATTTTAATGTATGTATGTTAAGAGAAGGTTAAAAAAGAGTAAAGTTTAAAAAAAAGATGTGTTAGAAATTGATTTTAGAACAGTTTTAAAGAAAAGGTTAATGTTTTAAAATTTAGAAAAGCAGAGATTGTTAAATCTATTATTTTATCCAAAAAAAGAGAATATAATTTTGTTTCTATTTGGAAATTGCTTCTGAACTTTTTTTGTGCTTGTAATGGGAAAAAATGAAATTTTGTTTTTGTTTTTGTTAATTAGATAGGTCTGCTGTTATAGAATTGGCTAGTATAAAGTACCGTGTTTCTCATATAATAAGGCCAGGTCTTTTTTTTTTTGAGCCCCGAAAAAATGGCTAGGCCGTCTTTTTGGGGGTGACTTAATTCCCCCCCCCCTTGCATCTTCGGGCAGGCGGGTGGCGACGGCTTGGATG